GGACAAGGACCCCCCCCCCCAGTAAAATTCCTATCAGGCTCTGAATATCAGCTATGGTCAGTTTAGTCAGACCGGTGGCCTCCCATCTTGGTAATCCATTTACAAACACTTTTGAGGATCCTTCCTGGGTTTAAGAAATTCTAACTATGGCCTACAGCCTCAGATGGTCCCATTTCTTTTTCTTTTTTTTTTTTGATTGAAGTACAGTTTATTTACAATGTTGTGCCTATATCTCTACTGTACAGCAAAGTGGCTCAGTTTTACACATATATATTCTTTTTTTAATATTCTTTTCCATTATGGTTTATCCCAGGAGATATTGTTTATCCATTCTAAATGTAATAGTTTGCATCTACCAGCCCCAAATTCCCAGCCCATCCCTTTCCCTCCCTCTCTCTCCTGGCCTTGGCAACCGTGAGTCTGATCTCTATGTCTGTGAGTCTGTTTCTGTTTTGTAGATAGGTTCATTTGTGCCATATTTTAGATTCCACATATAAGTGATATCATATGGTATTTCTTTGTGTTTCTGACTTACTTCACTTAGTATGATAATCTCTCGGTCTCTCCATGTTGCTGCAGATGGCATTATTTTGTTCTTTTTTATGGCTAAGTAGTATTCCATTGTATGTATGTACCATATCTTTATCCATTCATCTGTTGATGGACATTTAGGTTATTTCCATGTCTTGGGTATTGTGAATAGTGCTGCTATGAGCATAGGGGTGTGTGTATCTTTTTGAATTATAGTTTTGTCTGGGAACATGCCCAGGAGTGGGATTGCTGGATCATATGGTAATTCTATTTTTAGTTTTCTGAGGAACCTCCATACTGTTTTCCATAGTGGCTGCACCAACTTACATTCCTCAGGTGGTCCCGTTTCTAAAGGTAACCATTTAATAGTGTCTTCAGAGTAGAAAGGCAATTCAGATAGAGGATTACTAGAATGAGTACTCAAAGGAGGATAGAGGGGAGCAGTAGTTAAAGTTTTAGGTACCATTAATCTTTCATTAGCCTTCTACAACAATTCTTTCAATGAGGCTATTTTGAAATTTTGGAGCTTTTTGGGGCTTCTGCATATCAATTAAAATGGGTACAATAGTTTAAAATGAGAGCTCTCTAAAATTTTAACAATTTAGAAGTTTTTCCAATTCAGAGGATCCAAAGCTTCAAAAAGCTAGCCCTATACAAATATTTCTCCCTGCTAACCTAATTTGTAAAAGAGAAACTCTTACCACTGTTTCCAGTAGACCCTGCAGGCAGACATCCAGGAGACTGCCAGCTTTAACTGCATGCAAAAAAATCAGTTTGGGAATGCAAAAAGAGAACCCAATCTTGGCCATTTCAGGGTGGGGTTTCCTCTAATTTCCAATTAAGTACTTGCAAGCATACATAAACCCAGCTGGTATTCCCATAGGTGGCTGTCTGTCTGCACAGGAGCTGTTTGGCCTTTGAGGCACGATTTCCCATTATTAATTTGGTAACCTAATTCAGATATGAGATATGATCTGAACAGCGTTATGGGGACAGTGTGGTGGATCAAATGTGTGCTGCTTCTGAGTCTAGCTCCCCAAGAATGTTACGCTTTATGGTTGGGCAGGTACTTCCGCCAGTGGGGAGGTTTGGTCAATGCATGGTGCAGATACACAATGCACGGTAGAGAGAGGAGGCCAAAGGGCAGAGAAAATTTTTTATGTTTAAATTATCCTTGACTTGCCTTAGAATATGAAATTTTATTTCATCACATGTGATTTTTTTTTCCTTTTTTCTTTTTTTGCGGTACGCGGGCCTCTCACTGTTGTGGCCTCTCCCGTTGTGGAGCACAGGCTCTGGACGCGCAGGCCCAGTGGCCATGGCTCACAGGCCCAGCCGCTCCGCGGCATATGGGATCCTCCCGGACCGGGGCACGAACCCACGTCCCCTGCATCAGCAGGCGGACCCTCAACCACTGCGCCACCAGGGAAGCCCACATGTGATTTATTAAAGTGAAAAACAGAATGGTTGTAAGTGTATTGATGGGCTAGGGAGTAAGACTATGAAGACGGAAGTGACATGTGTCAGAGCAAGGATACTTAAGAGGGTACATCCTGTTCCCCTCCTAGGGGTAGGTTTAGAATATAAGGCTGTGAAGATGGTAGGCACAGATTAGATTATAAAGAACCTTTCATGCCACTGAGCTTACATTTAGGCAGGAGAGTTGCTGAAGAATAAGAGGATGTGTATTCATTCAACAAATTATTATTGACCAAATATTTATTGAGTGGCTACTATGTGCTAAGTACTGAGGAACAAAACAAAACAAAAAAATTCCTGCCTTTGGGGAGTTAACTTTCTAATGGGGAGACAATCAAAGTGAACACCTTCCAGATTATTATAATGACTGACTTTTAATCATAGTGAAATGGAAAACTGTGGAAGGATTTGAGCAGATGAATAGCATTATTTGACTTACTTCAGCTGTTGTGTTGGGAATAAACTGGAAAATGACAAAAGCAGGGACATAATTAAGAAGCAGTTGCAATAATCTAGACAAGAGATAATGGTGGTTTAGAGCATATGGTGGTCATAGCAGTGGAGAGGTTAAAAAGTGGTCAGATTCTGGATAATTTGAAAGTAGAACAAATAGGATTTGCTGACAGGATGGATGTGCTGTTTGAGGGGAAGAAGAGTAAGATTTTTAGCCTGAGGAGCTGAAAGAATGGAGTTGCCATTAACTGAGATGGCAAAGACTACAGAGGGTGAGATCAGGAGCTAGGTGTTGTACCTGTTAGGTTTGAGATGCCTATTAAACATCAAATGGAGACATCTCATAGGCAGTTGGATATACAGACCTGGAGTTCATGGGACTGGTCCTAACTAGATCTGTGAATTTGGGGATTAAATCAGCATATAGATGAGGTTTAAAGCCAAGACTGACTGAGACTTGATGAAATCCCCAGAGAAGTGAGGTAGAACAAAGAGGGCAAAGGACAGAGCCCTGGGGCACTCCAGTGTTTAGAGGTTAGAAAAAGGAGCGGGAACCAGCAAAGCAGACTGATGGAGCAGCCAGAAAGGGAGAAGGAAAACCAGGAAAGGGTGATGTGAAGCCAAGGGAAGAAAGTGTCAGAGAAGAGGGAGTCACCAGCTGTGCCAGACCCTGGGAGGGGTGGGGGCTGAAAGGAGGACTGAGAATTGATCATTGGATTCAGCAAGTCCAAGTCACTGGTGACCTTGACAAGAGCAGTAAGAGTGGATTCGAGAAGAGAAATTGAACACAGAAGTATTGACGCTCTTTGAGTTTTCTTGTAAAAGGAAGGGAAGAAAAGCATAGTATTTAGAGGAGTAAGTGGAATTGAGAAAGGATTTTCTTTAAGCAAGGAGAAGTAATAGCATGTTTGTCTGCTGATAGATTCAGTAGAGAGGAAAACATTAATGATGCAGGATAAGGAAGGAGAGCAACATTTATATGGAGCAGAGATAGTTCATCAATGGCCACAGGAAAGAAGATAGAATATTTAGGCACAGATGGAGGTAGGTGGGTCAGTTTGGAAGTTTGTTAATATTTTCTCTGAATGCTTTACTTTCTTAGTGAAATAGGAAGCAAAGACATCAGTTGAGAGGGAGGATGGAGAAGGAAGCACTAGAGGTTTGAGAAGAGGCGGTATGAAATAATTGGGAGGGTGAGAAAGTACATGGAATAAGGAAATAGAGTGAGGGACATATTGAAATATGCTAGGCAGGGCTCCCCTGGTGGCGCAGTGGTTGAGAACCCGCCTGCCAATTCAGGGGATACGGGTTCGAGTCCTGGTCCCAGAGAATCCCACATGCTGCGGAGCAACCGGGCCCGTGCGCCACAACTGCTGAGCCTGCGTTTTAGAGCCTGCGAGCCACAACTACTGAGCCCATGCACCACAACTACTGAAGCCTGTGTGCCACAGCTACTGAAGCCTTCACACCTAGAGCCCGTGCTCCGCAACAGGAGAGGCCACCGTGATGGGAGGCCTGCGTACCGCAACGAGAAGTGGCCCCCACTCGCTGCAACTAGAGAGAGCCCATGCACAGCAGCGAAGACCCAACACAGCCAAAAATAAATAAATAAATTTAATAAATAAATTTTAAAAATATATATGCTAGGCAGCAAAATGAAGATACAGTGTCAGAGAGAGACTAACAGCAAGAAGGCCATTGCAGTGGTCTAAGTGAGATTTGATGAGCTTCTGAATCAATTCAGGTACAGTATTGGGCTCATTAGCATATAGGTAGTAGTTCAAGCTTCAAGTATGGATAAAATTGCCCAAAGAGAGCAGACTGACAATAGCAGTGGATAGAGGCCACTGGAAGACAAGCTCAAAACTCAGAGGACTCCTCCAGGTAAACAGGAAAAACCATGGGAAAGAGGGCACAGAGGTAAGATTAGCTAAGGCTTATATGTGCCATCTAGGTTGATTACCTGGGAAGTTGTAGTTTTGATGAAGGAACAGGAGAGAACCCCATTTCACTGTTAGATGAGGAGTAAGTAGAAACACGGAGTGCAGATAGTAAATAGACCACACTTGCAATAAAGCAAAGTAGAAGTAGCAAAGCCCGAAACTAGGCCTGGAGAGCCATTCCTTGCAGAGACAGCAGCCTCTGGAAAGACCACGAGGTATAGAAGTGCACATATAAGGAATTTTAAATAGTTTGATGTGAAAACTAAATTTTTTAAAATATTTGATTCATTTAATTTTTTGTTCCTTTGTCTTTTAAAACTGATCAGTGTGTAGTTCTCTTTGGCGGAATTGGGGAGGGAGAAGTAACCTTCTATTTAGTTGTATGTATATGTGCCCCTTAGCTAACTTTTTAAAAAAAAAAGATACCGAGACTTTCACATGAAGTAGACTTTGAGACTGCTCAAGCTCTTGAAATGGGAAATTAGGCAGTAATATACTTCTTAATATTGTAATGTGTTCCCATTCTCTACCTGTCATAAAAGTTGTGTGAAAGCTCCTTTTCCTTCATTTGCTTATTTTAGGAGGCAGCAGAAAATGTCCACTGAACGGACTTCTTGGACAAGTTTGTCCACTATTCAGAAAGTAGCACTGGGCCTCGGGATCCCAGCCAGTGCAGTGGTTGCCTATATCCTATACCGCAGATATAGGGAAAGCAGAGGTATGTGAATCCATGGCTGTACATATGGAAATGTTTAAACTATGTTCTGGCCTTGTTAAATTGAAATGAAAACTTTCCTTCCAGACTGGGTATCATTTGTTGGGATGTAATTGGCTTTCTCTGAGGGATCTTTTTTTAAAAAATAAATTCATTTATTTTTTATTTTTGGCTGCATTGGGTCTTCGTTGCTGCGCGCGGGCTTTCTCTAGTTGCAGCGAGCGGGGGGCTACTCTTCGTTGTGGTGCACAGGCTTCTCATTGCGGTGGCTTCTCTTGTTGCAGAGCATGGGCTCTAGGTGCGTGGCCTCCAGTAGTTGTGGCTTGCAGGCTCTAGAGCTCAGGCTCAGTAGTTGTGACACATGGGCTTAGTTGCTCCGCAGCGTGTGGGATCTTCCCAGACCAGGGCTCAAACCCGTGTTCCCTGCATTGGCAGGTGGATTCTTAACCACTGCACCACCAGGGAAGTCCCTGTGAGGGATCTTTGAAACAGAGTTTTTTCTTTTCTATGTTAATGTGAAATAAAGAACTCATTTTATAATTCTTTTGATCTCTTCCCTTCAGCAGCACCAACACTACAATGGGTTCTTCCTTTCTCCTTTTTTTATACCCATACACTTGTTTATATTTTCCTTCTATTGTTAGAAGGCTAACTGTCCGGTCCAGTTTCCCCACAGGTTGGACCTACGGAGTAGGACCTAGAGAAATGATTTACGTACAAACGAGAAATTCTGAACCTAGTGGGCTCCTCAGGCAACTTCTAGCCTTCATTCTTCTCCAGGAGTCGTGTCTTGGGAGTAGTTTGCCCAGAATCCATCACCCATTCCTTGCAGAACCAAATGACTTTTCCCATTTTAGCATATGAAAACAGTAGCCCAGAGAGAATGCCCATCTTCTGGTCTTTCAGGACCTTTTAATTCCCACTCAGATGCTGCTTCTCCTTCTCTTTATGGTTGAGATCCTCACTTTATCTCTTGCATCCACATCTCTTTGATAGCTAGATTCACGGGAGGGCAGGTAGTAGCTTTGGGTATTATCTAAGTATGATCTGATGATCTATGCAGAAGAGCGGCTGACATTTGTTGGGGAGGATGACATCGAGATAGAGATGCGAGTCCCCCAGGAGGCTGTGAAGCTCATCATTGGCCGGCAAGGAGCCAATATTAAACAGGTAACTGTGTGAGCAGGCAACGGCTTTCCCAGGGATTGATTCTGCTTTCCCTCCTCTGCCCCCATTCCATAAAACCCACTCACACTATGTATATTTTAAACAGAAAAATACAGGAACTTATTAGGTAACTGCTATTTTCTTTCTAGAGATGAGTACTTCTCTCTAGAGAATGGGTGACTTAACTTGAAATGGGCATTTTTAATTGGATGATTCTCAGCCTGGTATAGCTTGAATCATTCCTTTCTACTATGGAATTATGAACTCTCATTAATTGACAGTAACTAATTAATTACTCCCTGATTCTTTTTACCATCTCCCGTTGTTCAGTTGGAATGTCAATAAAATAAAGTAATTGATTCTCTAATCCAAATTAGGGGGAAAGAG